GACAACCAGATCAAAGAGCAGACAACAGCCGAAGGCCACCAATGGGTCTTTAACGCATTGAGAAAATCCCGCACCCAGAAGTGGTCCTCAGCTGGCCCCTAAATAAAATTGTGTACTAGTTCAATGTAAATGGACGTCACACTAAACTCCAAAACATATAAATGAACTAAAATTAAAAACATACAAGACTAACAAAGGCCAGAGGCTCCTGACTTGGGACAGGCGCAAAAATGCGGCGGGGTTAAACATGTTTTGTGAGATGTCAACCCTCCCTCTATACCTCTAGCCAATGTAGAATAAGGAAACACATAGCAATAGGCACAGTAAAACTCAGTTTAAAAGAAGTCCGAGTCCGATGTCAGAATAGGTAACAAAAGAAACTAAGCAAAATGACAATGATACATAAATGAACAAAGGACTACTAGCAGTTACTGACATGCCAGCTCCAGACCTCAATTAAACTGATTGAAAGATTATGTCTTCATCATATGAAAATCAAGTAGGTTGTTATATGTTTGTGAGCGCTCAACACAAAATTTTGATGTTACAAAATAACTCCAGAAACAAGCTGTAAACACTATGCAGTCGAATGATTGCAGTGGCATTTTCATGCATGTTCAGGCCGAGAACAAATTTACAATATATACAATAAGCTGGTCCTATAATAAAAGACGTCTGGGATGAAGATCGGGAAATTTGTACTGCAATCTGGCAAAATGCGAGTATATTGGATAGGGACAAACATTTTGTCTCGCACACAGGTAACTTACGGACCCCTCAATGAGTTGTTGCAAGAGTTCTTAACGTGCAGAGAACTAGGCACTCATTAACACGAGGTATCGGATTTAACGTCCCTATTCTTTCCAGACGTGGCTGCGTACTTGTACATTCCGCACAACAAAACGGGCGCCCCACTTTAGCGAGAGTTTTACTGCCAGTTGGAGGAAGATCAAATGTGACCATATTTCTATTCCCAAGTCACCCTTAGGGATTATTGAATTAAAAAATGCTTGCCCAACATATTAATGTTTACCTAAAAAAAAAAAAAAAAAAAAAACATATTACAAAAAATATTGATCTAAAAGTTCTTAATGTATAATTACTGGCAGCTAGTTCAAGCCCGAATTTAACTTGCTATATATAGTCAATAAACAATGGTCTCCAACAACAAAATGTCCATCGGTACACATCCAACATATTGTATATCTTTCAAACTTATAACCCCAACTGTAAATCTTGCTAGCAGAATTGAGAGATATTGACATCCTGTGACATCTTTCGTCTGTAAACGTTCGCATTTCCATCTTAAGGTACTGACGAAAGAATAATCCGAATGATTGCTGTCTTAAATGCTGCTTTGATTAAATTTAAACAAACCAACCATTATAATCCTAATGAACTGTTTTCTAAATTATTTATATTTATATCCTATTCAATATTTTCTTTTTAATTGTACAGCTATAGGTTGCACTTTGTAAATACAGCTGTTTCTCAAACCACGCCTCTTTTGGGGAGATATAGAATATTCATAGATAATTAATTTTGTTTACATACTGGTTCCCAGTTATGATCTCTAGGTTTCATCTCATAGAGACATAACTTGGGAATGTTACCAGTAAATATACATATGCATATTGTCTATATAGAAATCTGTGGTAATCCTACAGTCAAGGTAAGGATAGTTAAGAAATTTAGTGTTAGTTTAAACTCTTAGAAGTTCGGGGCATATAAACGTTGAAAATATGCCGCACAGCCCTATATTTTGACCTTTGAAAAAAATTGTAGTGCATATGAACTTTCCATTCTAGGATATGATTTTTTTCAAAACTTCATGGTAAAAGTGGTACAGTTTTAGCCGTAAAAGGAGTTCCTATGGGAAATTGCATTGTCAATATTTACAGAAATGCAACCTATATTGGGTGAAAAAAGAGAACATACAGAATTTAACCAAATTTGGTTTATCTCACAGATATTAAAGAAATTAACCCAAATATGAAGTTTTATAAATATTTCATGAAGATTGGGAAAATCCTGGGCTTTAACTATGATGACTCAGCATAAATTCACAGTTTACAGTATGCATAGTTTACTTAAAGCCCTGAATGCAAAATAAATTCATAATATATGCATATTTGTAAGTTAAATTGTTTAGAAGTGCTTATATTTACTCTTTGCAGTAATTGAAACTCATAGATCCTTCCTGAATATTATTGGTGGGGTGTTTTTGTCCTGTCGATAACCCAAAAGTAAGCCGTAACGCCTAAATCTGCTTTTTTGTCACCGCGGCATAAAAAATACAAGCTAGAAATACAAAAATATTTCAACAAAACATACTATAGTGTGTTCTATCCTGAATATGTACTAAATATTCCATATTGCTAGAAACAGCAGAATAATTGAGGAAATTTGAGGCCCCAGGGGCAAAAAACAGAGAAAATTGCCTACCCCCTGGGTCATAAAACAAATAATTTAACTTGTAAATGCTATGATTTTATGATTTTAAAGGTCTTTATATAGAAAACAATAACTGTGCTTAGAAGTTATGCAAAAATTAGATGTTAGCAGTCATTTTTATAACATTTTAAGTGAATTTATACATCAGACTGGTATCTGCATACATACAACTATTGCAAATATGGCTTTGTTTTAACACTTCTAGCTCATATATTAGCTAAATTATGTCAGATATATGGTTAGAGATTATACTGTTGTGACAAGAATTCTAAACTGACCATTTGAGGCAGAAATTGTGAACATTCATTGACAAATAGGCATACAATAAAATGTGGACTGGAGACACAGGCAGGATTTGATACTTTATATAATCTTGAATGTTGGAATGATTGACTGCTAAACTTAACATTTAGAGTGTTCTGAAATGCTTTCAATATGTTATCAGAACAGTTTTAAACAGGTTCTAGGCATTTCATGTCAGAAAACATGCAAATAGGGTAAGCTGGCAATAATTAAAGTCTTGTTTTCAAATTCTTTAAAAAAATGAAACAGGGGAGGGGGTATCAAATGAACAGTAAAAGAAAACTTAAGAGTTTATGCAGTGATTTCTTTAAGGCTGTAATTCTGATCAATAAGTATTAATGTGAGAAAAACTGTTTTTAGAGAGTTTTCTATTGGAATAAATGTTTGTATAGGTTGCACTTTGTAAATACAGCTGTTTCTCAAACCACGCCTCTTTTGGGGAGATATAGAATATTCATAGATAATTAATTTTGTTTACATACTGGTTCCCAGTTATGATCTCTAGGTTTCATCTCATAGAGACATAACTTGGGAATGTTACCAGTAAATATACATATGCATATTGTCTATATAGAAATCTGTGGTAATCCTACAGTCAAGGTAAGGATAGTTAAGAAATTTAGTGTTAGTTTAAACTCTTAGAAGTTCGGGGCATATAAACGTTGAAAATATGCCGCACAGCCCTATATTTTGACCTTTGAAAAAAATTGTAGTGCATATGAACTTTCCATTCTAGGATATGATTTTTTTCAAAACTTCATGGTAAAAGTGGTACAGTTTTAGCCGTAAAAGGAGTTCCTATGGGAAATTGCATTGTCAATATTTACAGAAATGCAACCTATAAGTGAATTACAATTGGAAACTGTATTTGGTAAGTGAAATCCATTCAAACAAAACTAAGAATTCCATATTTTCTCGTATTTTTCTGTCCACACACTTTTTTGAAAAAAAAAAAATAGATTTCGCTTTATTTATTAGTCTGTTTTCAGTAACTTGTTTATTATTCTAAAAGAAGTCAGTGCGAGAATTTTGCGATCTCGATCTAAGGTTCAATATACAACACAGCAACGATAAAATACTGTTTTTATTTTATTTAATTTTATGCATAACTTTGCCTTGTATAAAGATAAGACTAATTAGATCAGAAAAAAATAAATTAATGACATTCTCAGAATTACACCTAAACTTTTATATGAAGCATGTTTGCGGTTTACTGGAAAAAAGCTAAAATATAATATTTCGATTTTGAAATTATAAAATATACCTTAACCTCCTCTTATCAAAAGGGTATACAGTGAGTTTATGCGGTTTATATGTTATTTTTTGCGAAAGGATTGTTGATTATTGTGCGTCTCTTCATTTTGTATAGAAAATGTCCTGCAGCTGCTATATGATGAGTTTAAATATATATCATTTGAAACCGCATTCCAGAATTTGTATTTCTTATTAAAAAATCAAAAGACTGTTAACTTTAAAATAAATTAATCACTGCGGTTCCATTGAATGATGATGGGTTTTGTAATAGTTTTCCTTGTAAAACGTATCACTCAATAGGAATTACACACATGAAAAGAGCAGCAGTACAGATTCGCTATTATATTACTGAAGTAACTTATTGCTCAAATATTACGTTACGTTCTTTCATATTCACACTATACAGACTTCATAAACAAGAGTGTGCTTCTTACTTCAAACTGTTTTAAAAAACTAATGAGGAAACTTGACTGAAACCGATGCTACCGGAGTTTAAACCGTAACGAATTGTATGACCGATACGATGAGTCTGTACCTCAACTCACTCCTAACACTTTTTATTGGACTTTGATCTTAAGATACCAGAAAAGTCGTCTGTTCTGTAAATTAACTTGTTGTATCTCATTCTCTAATATGCATCTTTACTGCGTATGGATTCAATCGGTTTGGGATGCATGCATACTATGAGACGTTTGCCTTCTCGACGATGACGGTAACGCTCCGTTTAGGGTTTCTGCAATTTTGTGATTGTTGCGTGTTTGTATCTTCGTTTTTTTGTTTTTTTTATAGATATAAACATAGGTACACGACTGTTGTCTCTTATTTATCACGAATTAATTACCATGTGTGTTAAAGAGTATCCGACTTTTGTATTCTGTGTGCTTACTAGCCTGTTTAAAGTATATCTTTTAATTTTTGCCATGTTGTTATTAACACTTCTTTGACTGGTGCTTTGACATTTTGTTTTCCGTCCTCTTCCCTTAGGAAAACCTGCAGTAGGTATCAGCAAGTTCTTCTATACAGAACAATATGGAACTCGAGTTACACTTCATTGCAGAATAACACCAGATCCTAACTATCCTGATGTATACGTTTTCTGGAGAAAGAACATCTCTGGTATCATGGTTTCAATTAAAAAGGGACAAGGAAAGGAGGGCATGACTAAGGAAAATCCTTCACTTATTATTAATTATGCAAAGTTTGAGGATTCTGGTCAGTATGTCTGCTATGGTACAGATGAAATTTCGAATGCTAGCAGTCCAACTATCAGGCTTACAATATTTGGAGGTAAGTACTATCATTGTGTTGTTCATCCTTCTTCATTTGTAATTCGTCTTCATGGAGAGTACTTCTGATAGCCGATATATATATATATATACCATATTGAATTTCTTTTAAAGAATGTGACCCGTCACCTGTAAATTAAGGGTGTAAGCAGGTATCTTAGCTATAATACGTGAGTATAATATAGTATGATTAACTGACGGGATCTGTATTGGCTGTGTTATAGATTTTAGAAAAAGCTGTGTTGGCCACCAGACTCGAGTTCTTACTGTCTACTCGTCTGCGTTCTGAAGATTGATCTACGAAAATGAAACAGTGATAATAATCGAAAGCTTTACTCGGAAAGGCTGTGGAATACATTCGTTTCAAATCGTTACAAAACTTGGAATATGATTATAACATGTTTATGTTATTTTATGTTACAAAATATGATAAAATGTATCTTATGCATAAAGAAACGTTCAAAGTTAAATGAAGCACAACAAAACTTAAAACAGGAAGTGAATGTCCCGTATTAACCAATGGGCTAACACGGCCTTTTTCTGTATAGGACCGGGCCGAAAAGCTATTTTAGTATGAACAAGGCGTCATCATCAGTATTGCACATCCTAATTTATCCGTATTTTGGGCAGATTTGGTCATTATTTCAATTTATGTTTCTTCGAGAACTTGAGTATTCTGAACTAAGCGGTTGAAATAGTGCAAGTACGGTTATTATGTGTAAATCAGAGAAAAAAGACAAAACATTGATCAATAATTACATTACATGTATGTTTCATTATAATACGTTATTTTGATTGGCTAACAGAAATCTCGCGTCATTCTGAAATTGACCTTCATTCTAAAATGAAATGTAACATTCATGATGACACGAGCTTCCACTATAAAGTGCACAGGTAAATAAAAGACAAATTTGCTAGAAATCGTGTTTTCATGATCCTAGCAAAAAAATGTAATTATAAGTATTGAATGCTTCTTTTAGTAATTTTATAGGGTTGTAAAAGCGTTGACCGTGCGCACATTTTTATAATGAAGCGCTTCCGCGCTTCATAAAAAATGTACTTCGGTCAACGCTTTTACACCCCAATGAATTTACAAAAAGAAGCGTTCAATTCTTAAATGCCATTGAAAATAGATCGAACACTTTTTATTCTTCACCAAACTCACTAAAGATACCAAGCCTATTATTTTATACGCCAGACGAGCGTTTCATCTTCAAAAACTCATCAGTTATGCTCAAATTAAAGATATTAAAAGGCTAAAACAAGTATAAAGGTGAAGAGAATTTGGGAAAATACAGTCGTAATAAAGAATTCCTGGGGCAGAAAATCCTGAGTATTTCGAACAATTCAAAGTTATGTAAAAAGTTGATTCATAAATATAATATTATATACTTTGTACTGGCCATTGGCTTGTAATAACCTCAAAGATTGTTTGGAAATCTTAAACATAACCAGTTGAATATGTTTGTTTAACTTATATATGATAACGTTCATGATGAACCTGAATTTATAGCTACATTCGCAATTTCCGCAGTGAATAAACATATCTTAAAAATTAGTATGAAATACTAGAAAACCAGATGCTTTGAGAGGATAAGAATCGTTTGCTTTGCATGCATAACCAGCGATGTCAAAAGCATATTAAATAACACGTTACTTTGTTTAACGTGTTATGAAAATTGTTTACATCAATATTTTTGAAAAGAAATAGAAAAAAATAAGACGTGCATTGAAAGATTATTTACTCTTTGTTTTAATACACGTAGATCCAGTTATCGATGTCGACAAAGACAGGTACGAGGTAAACTACGGTCTTTCTGTTACGCTGAGGGTAAGCATTCAATCCAATGTGGAAAACCCTGTTCGGAAAGTATTCTGGAAGCTTAACAACAACGGGGTTATTACGACGATTGACTTTGAAACTAAAAGGATATCAGGAAATAGCATTGAAAATCCATCTCTTACCATCCAGACTGTAACTACATCTGAAGCTGGAAATTTTACATGTTTTGCTACTCATGATATGGGAAATGCAACAAGTAAAGCTATTGGTGTACAGGTATTTGGAGGTAAGTATTTAAACATGATATACAAATTCACACGTGCTATAAAGGTCACCTCTTGTACGCAATACATCTGTATTCTGTTCGTCCTCTTCTACATCTAGACTTATGCATTTTGAACATCAATTCAATGTCAACTCTTTTAGAAGTATGAATGGCATGAAACATTAGTTTCTTCCAGGAGGATCTTCTGAACTCATTATAACCTAACTAAGCAACTGACACTCCTCTGATGTAAAACACCAAAATAACTTCTTGAATTAAAATATAACCCAAGACACACTTGAGCGAACTCAGACGATGTTGGTACTATGATTGATAGTTCAAAGTCGTTTACTTCTGTCAATGCCTTTGATTGTGGATTTATTACGTTGTTAGGTTAAAATCGTATTTGCATTCTTCGAGGTTAAGTAATATAATAATATAAGTGATATGTTAATAGAAAGAGTGGCAAAACAATAAATTTGAAATTGTATTACCGATATTATCAGAGTATTCCAGTAACCATTCCATAAACAATTTCCATTACTTAGTTTTCGCAAATCCCGAAGGTAACCTTTATATAGTACTACATATTTGCTCTACTTCTCAATCATAAAACCTAACCTATCGACAAAAACATCCGTTTGACATGTAATTTCTTATCATAAACCTCGTTCTTGATTTTGTTTACTCTTTGTTTTTTGAAATGTTAAATTGTTCATAAACATCGTCACTAAATTTTTAAAAATATAAAATATATGCTTACTACTACAAATGAAAAGTATTGTGTATCATTTTTGTTTAGATTTACCAACCGTTCCAGTTGAAATGAAAAAGTATGAATCTGTATATGGTGAAGATGTTACATTGAATTGTATTGTAATTGCGGATCCTCCTATCATTGATGTTTATTGGGAAAGAGTCCAAAATGGCAATCATAAACCGAAATTCAGTTGGCTATCAGGGTATATCACCTACCAATCCGTCTTTGACTATCATTTATAATACCAAAACCCACATCGGAACATACAGATGCTTCGCCACAAATGTGGTTGGAACAACTGTTAGTGGATCTACAACATTAAATGTTATAGGCGGTAAGAGGAACATACTATTTATATTGTCATATCTTGCACACGAATAGAGCATACATACATTCCTTAATATGTTATAATGTTGTTGTTTTGACATATCAACTGTGTGTTTGATCGATCATATCGCTATTAAAATATTAACCGTAAAATGCTTTCGTGAAATGATTTTTATTGTGTAGTCTAAATCCTGTTACACGTCGTCGCATGGGTATATGACTGACACATAGAAAGAAATAAATGTGTTTGTCTTTTGCACTGTAGTTTCTGGTTGTTTATATGTACTTAAGGCAAACACAGAATTATTTTGCATTGAAGAGTTAGTTCGGAATTAAAATAATGAGAAAATGAATTTGAAATATCTTCAAATGAAATCGTTGTCAAATAAGTATCGACTCGATGATTCCGACTCAACGGTGAAGTACAACTATGATATATTAATAAGTTACCGTGCAGTTTAGTTTCTTGCAATAATGCTCTCTCTTTCTCCCCCCCCCCCCCTCGCTCTCTCTCTCTCTCTCTCTCTCTCTCTCTCTCTCTCTCTCTCTCTCTCTCTCTCTCTCTCTCATATTAAAAATAAAAAAAATATTTTGTAGATAAACCAACTGTTACAACCACATCATCGGTTTTGAATGCAAACTACGGCGATGCGGTCACGCTTGAATGCATTGTTAACGCATTTCCGCATCCTACGAAAATTTACTGGATAAAAAGAAACAACGACCATTCTCCATTAGTATTAATAAATAAGGAATTTCCTGGAATATCCGGAAGTTCTATGGAGACACCCTCATTAACGATAAAGTATGCTACCCCTGCAAATAAAGGATATTATAGTTGTTTTGTTGAAAACACAGCTGGAGTCACTGAAAGTAAACCTGTCAACCTTATAGTGCTGGCAGGTAGATATGATAAATATACTTAATAGATGGGAAATTCGCTAAATATGATCGAGTAAAAAAGCGGAAAAAGAGAAAGAAAATATCAAATGAACATTCTAAACTCCTAAGTCGAAGAGAAACGCAAAGACAAAGAAAAACCCGACGAATATACAAACAAGTCCCCAAAATTTTACATAGAAAACTCAAGACTGAGCAACACAAACATTAGTTACCAAGGAAGATTAAGCTGTTGCTGCTCTACTACTGGCACCCATCATCTTGTTCATGGAAAGTACAAATTAAGTGATGTCACAATCGAGGAAAAATGAACGGGATTGAGGTGATGATAATTGGGTCATACCCGTTTCATCTGGGATCCTATTAAATTAAGATCGAAGAAAAAAACAATATACCTGAATATTTCTATTCGAATGCAAAACAAACTAGAAAACAAATGCATTAACGCTTGAAACTGAAGGAAATAAAATTAAAAAAAAATTTCGAATTTCATGAATGATCTAAGCGCACTTACGTCATGGAAAAAACATGATGTCCTTCGAATAGAAACTCAAAAGTTTGAGGTCATTCCGTTGCATGTATTCCTGAAATCAGGTCAGAATTGACTATTTTATGAATGTTTACATTATAACCACTTTTACTGATAACATCGTTTTTCAAAAATATTTTAACGAACTTTATCAATGTGACTTGTAAAATAAAAAAAAAAAAACAAAAAAAAAAACACTTTGAATTTTTTGCAAGGGGGGGGCCGTCAGTATCGATGCTCTCATATTAAAAAAAAGTTATGTCCACATCGTTATGATTTCAAATACTTGTGACATAAAAACGGTTTCAAGGAATTTTTTAACAGACATTCACAAAACAATTAATCAATTAAATGTAATGTATTCTTAGCTATCAAAGAAATAGCGGAAAGCCAAATATTTTAACCTTAATTTCAGCTCTCCCAGACGTAAGTGTCCCCCTTCAACCCTCAAAAGTAGGAACAGGTTTTGAAGTTATACTTAAATGCAGTATACAGGCCGTACCACCAGCACTAGAAGTGTATTGGCAGAGAAATACAAATGACTATCACACAATTATAAAAGAAAGCTCATTAAACATAGACGGATCGATAGTCGGCGATCCGTCATTGACAATTCAAAAGCCGTCAGTATCGATGTCTGGAGAATATGCGTGTATTGCGAGAAATTCTGTAGGCACAGCTAGAAGTCTACTTACGGTTTTAGAAGGTAAGTGTAAAATAGCGTGCATTAATATTGCTGTAAATGATGACGATGATGATGATGCTGCTGCTGCTTAATCTTCTGCTGCTCCTGATGATTTATATATATATATATATATATATATATATATGTCTAAATTGAAAACAACGTTCAAACCTATGATTGCGTTGGATAAAAACCGCAATTTTTATACGTGTGCATGCAAAACAAATTTCTTGTTAGAGGGGTCTAAATACAGCACAAACAACATTTTCCAAAACAAAAAAAGTGAAAAAGTATATTTTAACAAAACGCATTTGACTAACAGGTCGAACAACAAATGTTCTTAAACCCTGCTGACTGCCATTGGCGATTGCCAAATAAACGGATCACCGATGTAATAAATGGATCTTAATTTTAAATTTAATACTAAACAGAAAACAATAAACTTGCGGAAAAGATGATATACCGCAAACAAAAGGTGCCAAGGTTTTTGTACACCATATCCGGATTTCGACAAATAATGTCTCTTCAGTGATGTATATATATATATATATATATTCATAATTAATCTAAATATCAGCACAAAAAAGTCACTTCTACAAATTTGCAGATGCAAATTTTTGTTCTTCTCTCGCCGGAATTCGAACGCATGCTATTGGGATATCGTGACAACACCGCCTGCACTGTGTCCATCGCTCTAGACCACTCGACCACCTAGACTTAACTATAATTCAGCTTTCGGTGGCCTAGTGTTACCTTTCCTCGTGAGTAGAATCTAGAGTTGTAACACAGTACATGATATATTAGGCATGAAGATGGAATTGATTGCAGATTAGCTAAATTTTCTGTCATAAGGATCGTAAGATGCAGCTTCAGAAGTAATAAGTCCGTTTATAAATTTTGAAATTATTAAGAAACTAAGGTTTCAACTCCCTCAGGCAAAGTTGGCTTTATATGAATTTGGCTATTTATTTTAGGCATTTTTGACATATTGCTCTTCAACGGTTTCGGTACTTATACATCTTCGGATTTCAAATGTTTGACTTTGAGCGATCCTGATGAAGGTAAATCCAGAAAAGCGCTTCGGACGCAAGAAATTATTAAACGTGTTGTTTTCAATTTTTTACATCATTGGGTCGATACCTCTGCTGGTGGACTATCAGTCCCTGAGGGTATCATCAGCTCAGTAGTCAGTACCTCGGTACTGACATGATTTAACCAACTTAACTAAAATTGTCCGTTTATAAATTTTGAAATTATTAAAAAACTAAGGTTTCAACTCCCTCAGGCAAAGTTGGCTTTAGATGAATTTGGCTATTTATTTTAGGTATTTTTGACATATTGCTCTTCAACGGTTTCGGTACTTATACATCTTCGGATTTCAAATGTTTGACTTTGAGCGTTCCTGATGAAGGTAAATCCAGAAAAGTGCTTCGCACGCAAGAAATTATTAAACGTGTTGTTTTCAATTTTTTTGATAAGTACGTCTAAACAATTTACAACTCTACGACAGATCCATCCATTGGATCACCATTGAAGGTGACACACTCAGCGCAACAATGTTAAATCTGCAAATTACGCTAAATATTATTAACATTATTGTGTTGATATTTAGAGTAATCGCACAGGCATTTTAGAAAATGACTTAAAATTTCAGTCATGTTACATAATGCCTAAATTTAGAAAATGCCTGTAACATATACATATGTACAAAAGTTTTATGTATTTTTCAGTTCAATTTTGGATACTTGTTTTCGTTGACCACAACAACAGATTTGAGGCTATTGTTTTGTTTTCGTTATATTTCTTTCTGTATTATCATTAAAATTGAGAATAAATTTGAACAAAAACATTAACATTGTTCAATTTTTATAAGATATATGATTTATATAATATATAAAAAATGTTATATACAAACACCAATTGCTTACATGATTTGCTAACAATCTATATTTGATTTTCTTAATAGCTCAAAACTCCTTTTTCTGAAATTTGCAAAAAGTCGACAAGAAATACAAAAATTATATTTTCATTTAAATAATAAGAGTTTTGTTTGTAATGTGAATTGTAAAAGTTTTCATGTATATATGTGTAGTCAAATCTCTTCTAAATAATCAGACATGAAAAAAGTCAATTGATCAAAACTTTTTTGAATACGTATCTATTTGTATAATATGTTAGTTGAAAAGTTTGAAGCCTCAATGTAATTACTTTTCCAAATAAATGTATGACTAAGAATATTAAGGATACTTCTAATTGAATTTCAAAATGTGAGGCCAATCTGTGAGATGGCATTTTTTATAATAATAAATTCTTTTCTCCAATTGGTCTTTATTATTTTTTTAATGCAATGATTTTACCATTTAATGGCAAATTTAAGGTTGATACTTTTGGTTTTTTTTTATTAAGTTTAATATTCATATTTTAAGTAAATGTATACTTGTAAAGGATTACCTGCATGTACATTAAGTTTAATAGGTCGACTATCAGCTAACCCTGCATTGTTTTCAGCCAAACAAAAATGAATTTCTTCATCTGCAGGCGTAGCGAATTTGATCGTTAATGATGGTATTTGAACAGATGAACCAGACGTCCCAGGTTCTCCGTTTTTAATAAGTTTCACCTGACCATGGTTATTGATTTTGTGCCAGAATACGCTGGTAAGTAAAGGATTGGAAAATACAATGCATTTCAGTGTTATCTCTTTACCATAGAATGCTGTATATCTCGTTGATGTTATGTTTATTATCGGTCTGCCTGTAAAATAACGAGAATAAGACATGTTGGAATGAAGAAAATTATTTTTACATATATTTCAAAGGAGTAGAATTTGTACTTTTATTTGTCTGTTTGTCTTTTTATTTTTGGCCATGGCGTTGTCAGTTTGTTTTCGATCTATGAGTTTGACTGTCCCTCTGGTATCTTTTAGTCCCTCTTCTATAATGGCCTCAAATGGCCCCAGATTTACAAAATGATACAAATTTAAACTTATCATATTTTTCACCATTAATTACTAAAACTAGAGGAAATTATTTGAAAAAAAACTGTTTGTATCTAACAAAAAAAGTTTAATGACGTCATAATTGAGAAAATAAACAAAAATATAGAAAATTTTTGTGGTTTTCCTTCGTTTTGGCCACCGCACCATGCTTGCACCAATCTGAAATTATAACATTTAGACAAGTTCGTATATTCCAAACTTCAGGAAAAAATCGTTTTGGTCAAGGTTGGTGCGATAGTTTATTTTATATTTTTTCAAGGCCAAGCAACGCAATAAAACTCAGAAATTTGACTTTGCTACCGATTCTTCTGAAAAAAGGTTGAATTTATGCATGCTTATGCTGTTAAACATTTGACCTTTTCACTTATGAACCAGTAACATGTATTTCTATTATTTATTTCGTAAGTAATCTATTTTCTTATATAAAAAAAAACCAAATGAACTTCATATTGTAAGGGAGTCAACGACAATTTCGAGGAAAACAGCTTTTTTTTTGAAGATATGAAATTCGCTTAAAATAAGAGATAGACTTATAATATAACAACATTTGATAAATTCGAATGTTTTCGTAATCTCGCCTATAAAATTGGTTGTTTTCGGAATGGTAGTATCTTCTCTGGTATTAGGGATGATCAAGGATTTATGAAAAAAGTGAAGTGGGGGGATGTGCTTATTCCAGAAATAGAATAGAATATACAGAAAAAAGATTTGAAAGATTTTATGTTTAAAATTTATATAAATAGTGAGAAACAAGAGATTTATTTCTTATTTCAACCCATGGTATTATTACTTTTTGTTTTTTTGGTTAATGATGTGGGATCTGAATTTGCTACTTAAAGACAAGACTAAAACACAAAAACAGGTTTCCAGACCAAATGTTTAAAATTTCAAGATATACCTTCATGTTAAAAAAATATGGAGAAGGCAGTATGTTTTTATATGTCAATATAAATATAAAAGTTAACAGATACAAACTTAGATATTAGCCAAGTTGAAAGATAGTAGGTCAAACTTAGCTGATAATAAGATGAATGCTTAAGTTCATCTGTATTCTAGTGGCTCTGTGAGGCAAAACCAATATCATCATTTGACAAAAATGGGCAACGGATTAGACAGATACAAAAATTGGAGAAAGAAACGGTATCCTAAACAAATAAATATGTTTCCTCTACTAAATTTCCATAAAATTCAGTAAGATAATGGATTGCATTAACATGTTTATAACGAAATAGATCGAAAGAAAGAAAGTTCCCTTGTAGTTATGCCATAACTGTTAAAAACAAGAGTTTACACCTCAACACCCAGCACTAAAGAACAAATCTGTAAATTTCCTCATTACTGGGTATATTGAAAAGAATATATAAGGTGTACATGTATTTATGTAACAAATGTAATAACAATCAATTTCAAATGAGATCAATGGTACATATTTTACTCCACAGAGGGACTCTACAAGTGCATTTCGTACCACATTTTCTAGAAGACTTACAGTTGTTTGTCTGTAGTTTTGTTTGTTGATTATATTGAGCATTGGTTTATCCTAGTCTTTTTTTGGAGTTTGGTATTTTTTACTACATGTATGTCATGTATGTGCATCTTAAATTATTTTTCTGATGCAACGTATTAAAGTTGAATCTTGTATAATAGAAAACACATTGCCGTTGTTATGGGCATAGTTTTGTTGCTAAGGAGAAATTACAACGGTTTTGCCCACAAATATGCATTACATTGTGTTACATTTAAACAGTTTTTAAATATGTAATTAACTGCATGTTAAACAAGGCGGATCTTAATCATTAATAAATTAAAGCTGTATATTTAGCATGTTTTTTGAGTTTATCGCCACTGTTATACTGGTTGCTAGACACCAGGATATATGAGATAGACTCAAAATGCACCCATTTTCAGAGGGTCTTTGGTATAGAGATACAACATGACAAGTTTAATAAAATTTGGGGGTGAGGCCAAACACGGCCCGTATTGCCTCTTGTCCAAATATTAGTACACAATAATGTTATGTAGAACAAATGCATGGGCCATATAATTGCTTATAATTGCTACAATCCACTTTATTTGAACTTTGGTGGATAGTTGTCTCATTGGCAATCATAACTTATCTCCTTATTTTTATATTCAATACATCGTACCTTAATGACACTGTGATATTTTCAACTTTTGTCTAGAAGACGTTAACATTATGCATAAATCATTTTTAGAGAATGTCTACGCCATCAATATTGGAATGAACTAGGTGTAGTACTTTTTTCAAAAACAAGATACGAATATCGAACAATTCCTAAGAACTTGTTGGTCCTACAGGACAATACTGGGCTAATTTTCTGATATATTGATTTCACCGCTCATGACACTAAACATGAGGCTGAAATAAGGAAACTTAATACAACGTGAATATTTGAATATTAACGGTTATAAAACATTAGAAAGAAATCTAAGACAACAGACTTGCTTGAATGAGTTGCATCAACTTTTCGTTGAATACAATCGGTTGTGATATAATCGAAAAATTTACAATCAAGACATCTGGTCAAAATTGAGCCGAACAATAAAGGCAACAGTAGTTTACCGCTGTTCGAAATTCATAAATCGATTGAGAAAAAACAAATCCGGGTTACAAACTAAAACTGAGGGAAACACATCAAATATAAGAGGAGAACAAAGACACAACATATACACTAAAATGCAACACACACAGAAGCGAACTATAAGATAACAATAGCCATTTTCCTGACTAGGTACAGGACATTTTAAGAAAAAATGGTGGGTTGAACCTGGTTTTGTGGCTAGCCAAACCTCCCGCTTTAACGGCAATGTTAAATATAACACTAGGTGACAACATAACATGACAGGACTACAATACAAATAAATGGAAGAACATACAGGACAGAGAAACACACAAATAAACAATACAATAGAACATTACGACAAGCTAATAGTTATCAAAGGTGCCTGGCCTAAAGATGAAAAGCATTGATGACCAACAATTCTAAAAAGCTGTGCAAAATACGGCTAGGTTATCTGCCTGGTATAAGAAAATATTAAGTATTTAGAATAATTCATATTTTTGCAAACTTTTGTAAATTTATTAAATATAAAAATGACCATATAATTGATATACATGTTAACACCGAAGTGGTGACTTACTACAGAATAAAAACGAATACGTAAAACAACCTAGATCAGCACATAAAAACAGCACAGCCGAACAACGCATTGTATGTCAGCTGAATAGATCGACGCACAAAAGTGACGTCACAGGTATATTTCTAAAAATCATCCAAAGAATAGGATAAAATTGAAGATTAGGTTTGTAATACTGATATAACATGTATTTAATAACAATGAAAAGTACAATACTTATCAATATAAAATTGTATTAATAATTAGATAATTAATTGTATTATCTAGCTATGTAGGTATGTCTTATATAACATATATAATAATGTTTTTGATAGCAACATTAACAGCAGGAATATTAAGCGAGCGCTTTTTGACCAGCTGTCATTCAAAGTGGTACAGTCGGTATTAAATCATCAATGCCATTTTACTTTTTATCTGCAATTTGTCTTAATATAATTTGTTGCTTTAGAATATGTAATAACACGAAATAGTTGGTAAAACAATTATTTTTTCGCGTACAAACGTTGCGATAGGTGTATGAATGAAGTTTCGAGCAGTTCATTGATGAATTGACGCAGACGGGTAATAAAGCGTGACGATGTTGCTGTGATGCGTGACGCCATTGCTTAACATGCTTGAGTATAAGGTACTGCCAATGATCTTAAACAATATTAGAAAGTAGGAGCAAAGAAAAAATGTACAAATCGCTGATAACATTACTTATTTCTGTGCAGTTGAAACTTTTGATGGATTTCAAGGAAAAGTGCACAGCCAGTGTAACAAATGAATCACCCATTGTTGTTTAACAAAAGGCGTTTACATAGACAAGCAATATATGCATTTTAAGTATCATTGGAATTATCATCCTACAAAATCCACTTATACAATTGTGAATTAGGATGATAACATCATATTCAAAAGACTTAATTACTGTTTTACTGTAACATCCCTATCTCAAGTTTCATATGTGGATGAGTGCCTGTAATCATGTTTAACCCCTTTCAGAAGTCAGAAGCCTGTTGTCCAGCTACTTTAGTTCTATCCTGTATGATTGATCTGTTTTTATATTTGTAAATTATAAGCTTTGATCGGTCATTTCATTTTCTCATTGTTTAACATTTTGTTTGTCGAGGACAATTAACATGTTTAAAATTTAATATACTGTTATTTGCTTGTTCATTATTTAAGGTCATACTATGTCGTGTACTTTTCCCGAGCTATCTCAAGGGTAGTCGTCTAATTGAAAAACATTCGATGGCTTCCTACTTATAATTACATAGTTCTTACAAACCTCCTTCTACAATTAACGTCGTTGGTAAGCTTTTCTGGGTTCCTGCTACATTTGTCGCAAAGCATGTGTATATTCCTGAATCAGCTGTTGTTGGCCTGGTTAAGACTAGTGATGGAAAAGTATGTGTTATTCCCGCAGTCCCTACAGCACCTTTGTATATTGTGGTTATTACGTTTTTATAGTTTTTCTGCCAGTAAACAAGTAGAACATCAGAATGTGCTACGAAACTGCAGTCTAATTGTATTTTTTTCCCGTATGTTGTATTGTAACTTTGGACACCGGCGACAACCACAGGTAAACCTTTAAAATAAATAAACACTTACTTCACCTTTCCATGCAAAAAATCATGATACTGTTGTATCATACTGTCTTACAATCTTTATATCAAGTCACTTGGTAAACTACTGTTTCCTCTTTTTTCGTTTTAATGTTTTAACTGATTTCTCTGACGTCAGTCTATTGTTCTTACAGTAGATTATTTTTCAAGAATTCACTGACCACTGTGTTAACTTAAGATAACTTATATCATAACTTTAAACTTTTAATTTACGATATGTTATCCTCTCAAAAACGAGTCGCATATGAACGGCTCGAACTCGCGCGTATTTTCTTCATAACCAATAGAGTCCTCAGTCTATGCATTGTTTCTCTTATAAAATATTATTCACATATTTACAAGTAAAAGTGATTCAGCAAATCTCTGAGATCACTGTAATAAAAACAATATTTGTTAGTTTTATCCCTCAAATTGTTAGTAATTGTTTGAATTCCATCGAAGACCGTGTATATTTACGCCAAACATTTTTCATTTTAAGGTAGATAGGGTGTCTTCCTCCATCTTGGATTTTGTAATACCTGAAAACAATCGGTCTAGATCTTTAATAGAATATGCAAATTTTGAGAGTAGTAGGTAATTCATGTGTAAGAATTTTCATTTCAATATAGAAAATGACATGTTTTATCATATTTATGGTTGTATTTTACAAAAAACAGAAAACTTTTGTTTGATTCAATTTTTTCCAACTTTGCCACATAAGGGGAGGCAACTCAAATGTAAGGGCAGATAATTCAGATAAAGGTACTTTTACAATAGAATGTGTTAGGAATTTACCTATTTTATTATGTAGCAAGAAAACGAGTCCGGTGACCCCATTTTTTCTTTTTCTTATCTGAAAGCATAATATTAAAGCTATCTTCTTATATTTTATCTCAAAATTCTATGGTGTAGTTTTCGTTTTATGGCAGAAAATTGGGTTTTCCATGCATAATCTATACAAAATCTGTTAATTTTGAACAACCTGTAGCGTGAAAATAAGCCCCGTGACCCATTCTTTTTATCATTTTTTTTTAAAAAGCTTGATATAAACTACATTTTGGCAAATTATTAAAAAATTCTATGGATTATAATTTAGACACCCCATCTACCTTAAGCTGAAAAAATAGATTTTACAAAATACGCTACAAATTTTAAAGTTAATTGGTTTGATAAATGTAACAAAAATCTGTTGAAGTCACTTCTAAAAAATCATTTTCGTTATGAGATTTGAAATTTGTAATTTTCATGAGATTACATGATTTGATTTCACGAGGATAATACAAAAAGTAATAATAAGTTTGTCTTAAAAAGATTTCATCTTATCAACAGTTTGAATAAATTAAAACATTCGAATTTGATTGTTTTAGAAAAAAAAAAACAAATTTCAATCTCCTTCTAAAGAACAAAATATTGAAATTGCTAACCTTAAGCATTTTTCAATTTGCCTTAAAAAATTGAAAAATGATAAATGCTCCAACGTGGAGCATTTTTCAATTTGCCTTTAAATATTGAAAAATGAAAAATGTCCCGTATTGGTTGAATTTTCGACTTTAGAAAATTTTCTCAAAAATGAAAATGTTTTTGTGTGGAGCATTTTTCAATTTTTGTAATCGTTTGACAAAATGAAAAATGCTCCAAAGCGGAGCATTTTTCATTTTTCAAATTTATCAAAGATATTGAAAAAAAAATAATCAAATTATTTTTTCATTCATTGTTAACACTTCAGAAGTTTTGTTTTTTTACTTTAAATATAATACACATGTGTGTATGTGTGAAATCGTATATACACATTTATTACCTTACCCCGAAAAGATAGAACAACAACGCACCAGCAAAATTATTTGATGTGGCGCAGGATTATTATGCAATTGTTATTTCCCTTGTTTAAAACCGTGAATTTTATATTTCCCTATTTTGTTATTTACATTCAGGTTTACTAAATGTTCTCTATATATCTGTTAAATCAAAAAGATATTGGTATGTTGAATTCATTGATAAAGATATTTATTTTTACTCTCAAGTTTAGTATTTGCATCGTTGAAAAACATTTGTAAACTTCTTTTAAAAGTTAATGTACATTGAATATAAAATCTGAGCAAGTTGTATGTGTGTAGAAAAGCATAACTATGTCTGCTCATCAAAACACGTATTTGTTGTGGCTATCCAAAGGATTGTGCATAGTTTAAAGCAATAAAAATGTGCCCTAAGCCCTCAACGACTAAATAGATTACCCGAAACCGAGAGAGTTGACCTAAATGTAAAGTAAATAAAAAAATATTGAAACAGGAAATTTTATTAACATAAAATTTTGTACTTTCATGCACTAGCTACGGGTTTGGTGATACCCTCGGTGATAACCTAGAAAAGGTGTAAAGATAAAAACAACACATAGGAAAGCTGTTCTTTTCCCAGTCTCCCTGTATAAGGTTGATGAATATGCCATATTCCATCTAATTACGGCTTATTTTGGAAGTCATTGAATGCTCCATTTCTTAACTAGATAAAATGATATAATTTTCACTGTTTTTGGTTTTTATTTACTTAGTTATTTAGATACCAATAGTGCTTTAACATTTGGCATCCATCGTCTCTGTTTACAACTAGAACAAGCTGTGGTCCACATCTCCGAATCTCCATCAAAATTATTCATGCTACATTTTGGTCCCGCGAGTTGGATGTTGAATTTTACAGCAATTTTTCTTTTTTTAACTGAAATATACATTATTTTGGGAAAACTAATCAGGAATGAAGCAGACATTTGAGTCAGTGCTTGGTGGAATTAGATACGACTGTCTTTAGGAGACAAGTTTTGAAGATTTAGGTGTATAATTGTTCCTGTCCGTCTTTTATTTTTATAGTATGGTTTATTTGGTAAATGTATAGTCATAATAGGTTTGATGTTGTCAACACTGATATTGCTGATTACTTTGTTCATTTTGAGACAGATTTTCTAATATTTGGAATGAATGGGAGGTGGCATTTCAGTTAAAAATGAAATTCAAATGTGAAGCTAGTTTACGTTTCTCTAGATATAAGAAGATGTGGTATGAGTGCCAATGAGAGAGCTCGCCTTCTAAGTCACAATTTTTAAAATAAAAACCATTATAGGTCAAAGTACGGTCTTCAACACAGAGTCTTGGTTCACACCGAACAGTAAGCTATAAAGTGTCCCCAAAATGACTAGTGTAAAACTATTCAAACGGGAAAAACAACGGTATAATATATATACAGAACGAGAAACACTTATGAACCACATCAACAAACGACATCAAAGAACATTAGAAGATAACAAAACCTTTAAACAGACTTATTAAGAAGGGATTTAGTTACGATACTGTTGTCAGGTCATTAAAGATTGCATATTTTGGCTTTAATATTGATTCACTTAAAGGGTCTTTACATCGGAATTAAACACATTTATTTAAAAACCAGTTGTTGGCATGACACGAGTTATGTTCTTCTCTTAAATATTTTATGATTGTATAATACTGAACCCTTACCGGGAGTTGCCTGATATTCCTATGATGAAGACATAATCTTTTAATCAGTTTAATTGAGGTCTGGAGCTGGCATGTCAGTAACTGCTAGTAGTCTGTTGTTATTTATGTATCATTGCCATTTTGTTTATTTTCTTTTGTTACCTCTTCTGACATCGGACTCGGACTTCTCTTGAACTGAATTTTAGTTTGCGTATTGTTATGCGTTTACTTTTCTACATTGGCTAGAGGTATAGGGGGAGGGTTGAGATCTCAAAAAACATGTTTAACCCCACCGCATGTTTGCGCCTGTCCCAAGTCAGGAGCCTCTGGCCTTTATTAGTCTTGTATTATTTTTAATTTTAGTTTTTTTGTGTTTAATTTGTTTAATATGACGTCTATTATCACTGAACTAGTATATATATATACAGTCCGCCAAAAGTTAAGCACCACCTAAATATAACTGGCAATATTTTTTTAACTATTGCGAAAAAATATTTATGTTTGGTGTTATGAATTGCCTATAACATACACTAAGAAAATTCATTACGACCAAAAAAAAAAATAAACTCCGATAAACACGCCAAGCAATTTTTTATCAAAGGTCATCTGCACTTTTTCGAATACACTTTTTCGATGCGTCAAGGTGGTCATGTTAGTGTTCGAACATTGGTCCGTCGACTTCATTGAGACTACCTAAGAGCACGTCGTGTTGTCATGAGACCTGCCCTAACAGCCAGGCACCGTATAATCAGGTTTCAAAGGGCTTATGACCATCGACGCTGGAACATGATAAGCTGGAAAAATGTTCATTGGTCAAATGAGAGTCAGTATCTGTTATGACCAATGGACGGCAGAATACGAGTTTGTCGTGGAAATTAAACTGCTAATGACCAAAACAACGTTTGCCCAACGACTTCATACGTTGCTGGTGGTGTTATAGTATGGGGTTCTTCTCGTACTGTTGTAAGGTGGGTATGCATATTCTGCAGGGTAACATGAACGGACAGACATACAGGGATTTGGTGCTGAGAAACATTGTAGTCCCTCGTCTTGATAATCATCCACTTGCTTCAAGACCCTTGTGCATGTACGACAATGCTAGACCACACAGGGCAAGGATTGTAACCGAGTACAAAGAGTACAAAGAGCAAGAAGCCATTGACACTATCTTTTGGCCTTCCATGTCTCCAGACATGAACCCTATCGAACATGTCTGGGATGCCATTGGCAGAAATCTCAATCGCAGAGATCCACCTTTTCAAAATCTTAGCGATTTAAGAAGCGCAATTGTTGCTGAATGGAATAAATTTGCTCAACTAAAGTTCAGAAGGCTTGTACAGAGTATGAGACTCCGTGTTATGGAACTGTACCGGAAGAGAGGGTGTTACACATCCTATTGACTCAAATATTGACATTAAATTTGCCGAACATACCAAAGATTATTTGTAGAGACTTTTAATGATATTGGGTGATTAATTGTTGTAAAAAAATGAAATCACAGTGAA